GTCTCCCCCACCGGAACCCATTCTGCAGCTCCCCCAGGACTCCTTCTGCCTCTGCCCATGTCTGCAGTCGGTCTCGTATTATTTGTGTGAACACGCGGTAGAGTACCGATGTGATGGCTATGGGGTGGTAGTTTCCGAGCGTTGACTTTTGCCCTTTTCCCTTGTAGATGAGTCTGAGCCTTGAGGTTCGCCACTCCTCCGGCACCCATCCCTCCTTCAGGATCTGGTTGAGGATCTCGTGCAGCAGTGCTCTCGTCTCTGGCCCCAGCTCCTTCACCAGCCTCATTGGGATTTCGTCCATTCCAGTGGCTGTGGTTCCTCCTATCCTCTTGACTGCTCTATTTAACTCCCTCTCTGTGATTTCCTCTCTGCTCGGTTGCTCCTGCAGTTCGTCCTCCGTCTCCCCCTCCTCACTGTCCATTTGTCGGCTGTCCCCTGTGAACATGTCCCCTATCCACCTCTCAATGTACCGGTTGGTCTCTCCAGGGTCCAGTTCCTTTCCCGTTGCGTCGTCTTTGATTACAGCATCCTCCCTGGGTCGACCTGTTTGGCCCTGTACATGTCGCCAGAACTTCAGTGGGGCCTCACGTCCTGCCTCTCTCAGTTCTTCCAAAAATCTCTTATCTACCTTGGCCATTTCGCTTTGAATCAAAGCTGTCACCTCTATTTTCCTGCTCTCCATTCTCTTGAATCTTTCTGTAGGGGGGCTTTCTTCTCCTCCTTTCGTTTTCTGATGGTCCCTCGCAGAGTCCTGTTTGCCAGTTGCCTTCTTGTAATGGCCTCCTTCACCTCCACATCCCACCATCGTTTTCTCCTCCTCTTCCCTCGTGTCGGTCGTTTCAGTTTTTCCAGGTGGTCCTTCCACCACCGCATGAGGTTCCCGTACGTCTCCACCTGCCTGGTTTCCACCTCTTCCTCCAGTTTCTGCGCAATGGTTCGTGCTTCTGCTTGCGTTATGTGGTGTGGTCTCATAGGTTCGCTGACTCTCTTTTCCGTCGGCTTTCCTCCGAAAGTGATCAGCAATCTGTTGTGATCACTTCCCAAGCTCTTGTCGCCTTCCTCGTCTATCTCCATGTAGTTCAGTTTTTCATACAGGTCCGGGGACACCAGGCAATAATCGATTGTAGAGCTCATCCCTCTGGCCGTCCATGTCGTCTTTCCTATGCATTTATCTTGTGTGTTGACGATTACCATATCCAGGTGTTCCGCCATGTCCTGCAGCAGCTTTCCATTACCGTCTGTTCTCCCATCAAACTCCTCTAGGTGTGCGTTGAAATCGCCTACCATAATGGTAGGTCTCCCAATGTTGTGATAGTCTTTTTCAATGCACTTGATTAGCTTGATGTTTGTCTCCCTGCTGTCTGCCCCCGTCCACAGGTACACCACTGCCACTGCCACCTTTCTCCCCGCCAGTGTCCCCGTCAACCACATGTGCTCTCTGCACTCTGGACTTTCTCTCTGCCAGCCTGGCCCACTAAAGCATCCTACCCCCCTCCCCTTCTCTCACTGTCCTTTCTGTTTACCCCATCCCAAAAGAGCCCTTCGCAATCCGGGGGTCTTTCTTCATCCCTGAGGTGGGTTTCTGTGACTGCGAACATTCCAATCTTATCATCTTGTAACATCTGAAAGGCCTCTTCCCATTTTCCTGCTTTCCTTCCTCCCTGTAGGTTTAAAAAGGCAATCTTCACTTCCCTCTTTTTCTTTTTTGCTCGTCTGTTTTTCCTTCTTTCCCGGTCTGGTGCCTTTTTGTGTTTTCCGCCTCTCGTGTTGTTGCAGGCACCATCCCTCCTACTTTCTCTTCTTAGTGGGCATGTCCCTGTGGGGGACACATCCTCTGGAGTTGTTCCTCGAGTCGCTGTAGTCTCTGGTCCAGAGTCAGCCTGCCTTCCATTCTTTCCTGTCGCCTTTTCATCGGTGTCACGCTTTTCCCCTTGCATTTCAGTCCTAAAAAACTCTTTAGTCTGTTACCCAGTGCTTGTCCCTCTTCAATTGCCGCATCTCTATTGCAGCAGCCATCTTCCATGTCGTTTCCCGTTCCTGTGTTCTTTACCACCTCCACCCTCGGTCCCAGCTGCTGGCTGATCTCTCTTGATAGCCTGTTCCACTTGGCGCACCTCTCTTTAAAGGGGTACTCCGCCGATTTTTTGAGCTACCTTAACTAACTATATTTTCTGACTCCCCGGCCTTTACTTTCTCCGGTATGCTATTTAGAATCGCGAAATTCATAATAGGTATTGTGAAATCGGCAAATGAAAATGATGCAAAAACCAACATTCAAATATACGCGCACTTTTCAGTGCCGTGACGTCACTGGCAGGCAGGCTTGCCAGTCGTGCAAGCAGCCAAAAAATAAAATATGCCAATTATTTGTTCCGTGCTGGAGCGCAGGTACTGCAGCGAGCTTCCCAAGCATTCATTTGACACCGTGAAACTGCTTCGAATCAGTTTAAAACAAAATCTACAGCCCAAAGAGTGAACCCCTGCCTTCCACTGACGTCACTTTTTCATTGTTGCCAGTAGAGACTTCGAGCTTGAAAAACACGGTGAGGACCAAAACTGTAAATTCAATAACTTTGCAAAAAAACAGTATTTTGACCTAATATTTGGGATAATATTTTCACGATGTTTGTTGGTTAGTTTAGCAAAATTTCAAGCAAATCGGAGACAATGAAAAAACCAGTGGAGTACCCCTTTAAGTGGGTCCCCCTTGTCTTTGATTTCTGGGACTTCATACACCATAAAAGAATGTTTCGGGGCTCTCGTGGTCCAGTCCTCAAGCCGTTTCCCTAGCTCCGCTGCCATTTCTTCCACCGATTCTTCGCCTTGCACGTCTGTCACTCCCGCATGTATGACCACCACTCCTGCCTCTGCATTCCATATTTTCCCATCCCTCTCTGCTCTCTCGAGTGACTCTCTCAGTTGTGCTCCCGGCTTAGTTGCAAAGTGAACTTTCTTGTCGTAATCTACCACCTTCAGTGTGGCTCTCTCTATCTTGAAGGCATTGGTGTCCCCTACCACTAAGACTCTCTTGTCCACCTTCTTCTCTTTGTCCTGTTTCTTTGTCCCGTCATCTGGGTCTGCTCTCTGCCTCATGAGGGCCTCCTTGTAGTTCCTGTGCTGGCTTCTTTGTGTTTGGCCTCCAGTCGTCTGTCTCCCCTGCTCCTTATCCAGATCTCCACTTCCCGTCCGTTCTTGGGAAAAGCTAACTGTCTCTTTCCCGTCTGTGTGGTATGTCTTCTTTTCTTTGACCCCGTTTCTCGGTTCCAGCTGTTGCGGTACGTTTTCAGCCCCGTTGACCGTCATTTGTTCTGGTTCACATGACTTCATCCAGTCATTGAACACCTCCCCTAATTTTTCTCTCTTGTTCCTTTCCTCCTGCATTATTGCATTCAGTTTCTCTTCCGTCGCTATTCTCAAGGTTTTCTCTTCTTCGAGCTTCGCCAACATCCTACTTTCTATGGCCGCTCTCTCTGTCTTTGCCTCCTCCAGCTTCACTCTCATTGCCTCTCTCAAGGCATTAACTTGCCGTTCGATCTCCTCCTCCAAGGTGATTCTTCTCACCTCATTTTCCTTGCACTCCTTACATTTGTATGTACTGTTCTCCGCCTCCGTGCATGATTCGAACGGTGTCTCGCTGATATCCACCCATTTCTCACAGCCTTCGCACTCCACTGACGCCTTGTCTCGCTTTCCCCTCTTCTTTGCCTTTTCCATTTGACTGGTTGTCATTGTTTTCCTCCGTGGAGTCATGATGTTAGGTGTCTCCCTTGCCTGGTTTCTGAGACGCCCCAGCCACCACCGCCAGATTCCGTCGTTTAGCCGTGCCCCGACACGCCGTGTCGAAAAAAAAACACTTGCGCCCTACGCCCGGTTGGTAGGCCTAACGGGTCGTTGAGCGCTCCGGAGGAAGGGCTTCTTGATCGCCCCCACAGTAACGGCTCCGCGCCGAAACCAAGTGGTCCGCTGGTAGCGGTCTCGGTATGCCTATACACCTTCTGGAAGATATCCATCGCACTGCCACCTTTACACTAATCGGCAAAAAAAACATTTTACCCCGGCGGTTTCAAATCGCCGCCGAGCCAAACCACTGAGCATCACTTTGTGATGCTCAGTGGTTTGGACATGACACTAGGGCACCGTGCACTAGGGCACAAGGTTGCTTGACAAACAACCAACCTGCTGAATGCCTGCCGAGAAGCTGGTGGAAGCATTTATAATATCGGTTTGAGAGTAGATCGCAGAGTACCATTATATTTTGGCAGTCTTCGTATTTGGTCTCCATAAATCGATATCAGTAATTTATTTTGATTCGGCTTTTGACCAGGGTTACCAATGAACGGCGTTTCTCTAAACTGGGGCTTCGCTACGCGCCCGTTCTCTAAAACGTGTTTCGGTGAAATGGCGTTCGATCAACCGTAGCGAACCCGTCCGATCCGCCATTCGACTAAATGCATCTAGAAAACACCGCCGACAAGCCCTTGTCAGCATGAAACGACTAAAGGACCATCGCAATATCATAACGACCATGAAATTTGTTTCTTTTCCAAGCGACACCCGTATCTGAACACCGCACACAAAATATAAGGAACTACAGCTACAAAACCAGCTCAACTGCTCCGCTTCCTCCCATTAGAACGAAGCTGACGAAGTAAACAGCGTAAACACAGAACAGGGACGTCACGGCTATCAGCAGCTTCGCGTTAGGTGAGCACGCGTAAACGTATATGCCTCGATACATCGCATTTCGCTTGCACGCCTAACACTATCGAATCAGATGGTTAATGAGAAGGGATCAAGTGCATGTCCCAAAGATTCTGACCAACATCGAAGCATCCACTTTTAGAAAAACAAACAAACAAAAAGTTGGGTAGGGATGGCGACCATTGTGAGGCACCTCCATCGCGCGAGGCTGCCAAGACAAATCACTTCACGACGGTGACAAGCTCGCAACGTGGTATGTCAGAAGAATAACTTCTGCATATCAGAAAGTGTTCACTCACGCTTTTAAGCGGTTCAAAGCTGCCGGATTGATCTTCAAAGGGCCGAGCGCCATGACGGCGTTCTCACACGCACAGAGACGCGGCGATAATCTGACTAATCTACGGATCGGCTACGCCGGCTCCACTTCGCAAATCTACGGCTATGGATTGACAAAGGCGTAGACGGCGTAGACGAGTAGCAATGCTTCCTCTACATCGGGCGGTGGTATTTGCCATCTATCAACATGCAAAGAAACCACAAAATAGTTTTCTTTCGCGTTGCGTTTCCTAGGCGGCGCCAGCGGTCGCCCCAACGTCGGCCTGCGCAACTGTTTTTGCAGCAACGACCGACAGCAGCGATCTCCCCGCCGGAGTAACGTCGGTTTTCGTCGGGACGGAGGAAGGCGACGGGGAGTCGATCGGTGGTGTGTCTTGCGTGCACCGTCGTCGTAGAATAGTCCGCCGCACGAAAGGAAAAAGGACACGCATCGCTTCCCCATGTGAGCGACGAGGAATATGGCAGGAGCAAAATCTGGCGTTCACGTACTCCAGCTCAAGCTCATCAGTGTGCCCCAAAGTTTACAGGAAGGCAACAAATTCGTCAAGTGGGACGATGTGAGTACGCCAGCCGTTTTTATTTATGTATTTATTTATTGTTCCGTCCACTCGCTCTCTACGACCGCCTCCCGGTAGCGTGGTCCCGTCGTGCGATCGCGAGCCCAACCCCCCAAATCGGACGTCTCGTACTCATCCGTTTCCCCTCCCGACGACCGCGTTCTCGTCGACGCGGCGCGCGCGCAGGGTTCGGCGGCACCCCGGTCCGACGGACGACGACGCGGCTTTATCGATGTCGCCACCGACGAGCGCGGCGGCGGGAGGCCAGCGAAGGTGCAGCGTCGGCCCCGCGGACGGACACCGTTCATTAGGCCTAGCAGACCCCCTTCCGCAAAAGCACGCAGAATGCAGATGGCAGGCCTCGGCTGCCCGTCGGCGACCGTCCTGCGAAACCCGGCCGTACACGGCAGCGCGCTCGGCCCGTATTGGACGCGCGTGCGAGGCGGACGGCGGCCGCCGGCGTCGATAAGGGGGCGATCGAGCGCGCAACAATTGGTGTCCCCGCCGGCACCCCCCTCCACCGTTCGCCGGACGGGCAGGCCGCGCTGTCAACCCTCGACTGGATCGGGCTTCGTTTGTTTCCTACCCGGGTTTTGCCCGTCGAGTGGCTCTGGACCGGCCGTCCTTGCTCACGCTGGCCTCCAGACGTCCGGTCGAGAGGATTGAGCAAATTTCGTGCCTCCCCCCTCTCTGCGCGTTCGGCGGTGAAGGTACGCTTGCAGGACTACCTGCGGCCCTCTTCTGGGAGCGCTCATCCACCCTTGGTGTCCGATGTACGTGCGAACGGCAGCGGATTGTGTGCGGTTTCTGTGCTTCAGGGATAGTATGGGTATCTACGAGGCATCTGGGGCTTTCCTCACGTTTCGTGGTTGTTTTATGTGTACCACGCGGTGCTGTTATTATTGCTACTCCACTTGTCCCACGAAAGCTCATTTGTTCCTGCAAACTCTGTTTTGTTTTGTGTTTTTTCTTTGGTTTCTGATTGTTTGTTTGAGGGGTACTGCGTGGGTGCTGCAGCCATCCCGGTACAGCGGTCTGTCAACCAGACTTCCAGTTATCGCCATTTGGCTGCTTGGTTTCCAGTTGACTGTGTCGCTCTTTCTGTTCGGCCTTTCGTAAAGAAACAATCCGAGTTGGAACTCCCGTTGAAACTTTGTTTTATTCTCTCGAAATCATTGGTTCCGTATGTAAGGTTTGAATGTGAAGAAGTGTGATGGGTCGGGCAAGTTGTGGTACGCCACTTGGACATTATTTGGGTTCTGGTGGATTGCAAAATCCACTCGTTTTATTAGTTAATTACTGCGGTGTCCTTTTCTTTTTTCTTTGAACATTACCTTATCAATCTGTATATCTCGCCAAACCTGTGACTGATTCCGACTGAACACTGTCTTATGGACGTCGTGATGCATCTAGTATGAGATATATACGCTTACGCAAGCTATGACTACAAGACATCGTTTCTAGACAGAGTGACGTGAATTCTTGTGGAAAGCGGCGCTAAAAACAGTGGAGTACCAGCAATCGACAGAACGGCAGTCGTGTGATAGCTGCGCCAAAGTACTTCCCCTGCCGCATCCTGCAGCTACGTTTGATCAAAGTGTGAAGTATTTGCGCCAACCTCGCGTCAAAAGTTGTGGTAGACTTGTGCGAATTTTCAAAAGTTTCGAATATCGCTTTAAGTAACGTGCTGTTCGATTCGATCTTCGTGTTGAGCAGTCATGGTCCGCAGTGTTTGTCATGATTTATGGTTTGTTCGGGCGGTTTTGTGAGCTTCGTTAAGTGGGCTTCTCCCCGCGCGCTGGAGCACTGCAGAGAAGCGGCACCCGGGGAGTGGACATTCATGTCACAGCGCGCGCCTGAATGTCTCGCTTCGTCGCAAAGCATCCGCGTACTAAAAAAAACAAAAAAAAAAAACCAAAAAAAAAACCGTTGTTTTAGGGTAGGATATGGTGCACGTGCATGCTCCAAGTATTAAAAAATATACTATATACAAAAGTAAATAAGTGGACCATTTCGTCGTTTACCCTGAGACGGGTTTTTTTTTTGAAGAGCAGAAGAAATAGAAAAAACAGACAGGTTTGTTTTTTCTGTCTGTTTGTTTTTTCTATTTCTTCTGCTCTTCAAAAAAAAAAAAAAAACCCAGTCTCAGGGTAAACGACGAAATGGTTGACTTCCACCAGCTAGCCTGTACTTTGACTCTTTTCTCGTAAATAAGTGGAACTTGGTGAATATCGATGTGACCACTCTATCAGTACAGTTGTCAAAATAGAACCGCGACTCAAGTATGTACATATAATAGTTACTTCTCTGACAAACGCCTTAGCGGACTCCATCTGTTCGAGGGCACAGTCGATGAAGTTTAACTTGAAACTAAATTAGCTTCAGTAGGGACATATGCAAGCTCGGAGATAACACCGGCCATAGCCATACACTGATTTTGCGTCGTCGTAAAACCTTACGTGTTAATTACGATTTATGCGCATCATGCAATGACAGCTCCTTCTTTTCCATTTTTTTTTAACAGCTTTACGAATTTCACATTCTATTGCAACTCAGAGAACATCGAGAGAACGTCCATTTTTGTACTCAGGATTATTCCTCGGGGATTTACTGGATGCTATACTTGAGTGCTCTGTTCACGGCGCATATTCTGAAAGAGCTCACATCTACGGGCCACTGAGGACCGGCAACCCTGCTGGTGGGGAATGCTCACGCTGCCAAAAGAATCGTGGAAGTTCGCCGACGCCATCAACACACACTGAGTAGTCTTGCACACAGTTATAGCCGCGAGGGATTGCAACTTGATTTCGGTGTACTACATTTTTGGTTTACCTTGAATTCCACAGGGGAAAAAAAAACATTCACACATGTTCATGCTATGTGATTGACTACATTAATTTTTTTTCAATGTCTTGTTTTCTTGTTTCGACGCCGCTGAAATTCGTGGAGCCATGCATCCAAAGTGGTTCCGAAGTGGCAACAATGAAATGACGTCACAAAAGCCGCAGTGACGCATGTTTTTCGGATGTCGCGATCCTGACGGTTGGCCGTAGAAATGCCGGCGAAGAGCACGAGCGAACGCGCGACTGTCGTGGTCGCCACGGCGTCTCAACTTTTGTTTTGTAAAATGTAGCAGACGAAGAACGGGCGTCTGCTACATCCGCTGCCCTGACGCCGCCAGGATCGCGGCCGTCGACAGCGTGACACAGAGGCCGCGTTCCAAAATCTACTCTATCTTACTATAGGGTACCGTTCTGTATACCTTGGCGTTCGAAAATCTACCCGCGCGTGTCCAGCGTTGCTCCCTGCATCTGTCTTGTCACGTGACACGATCCGCCGGAGTGACTCGGGTCCATTCCACTAAGATTTGGAACGCAGGCAGAGAGGCTAGATCGAAGAGAGGGTCTATCCCGTTACAATGGGGCGGGATATTTGCAATCTAATGGCGGACGCCTGCTGCGGAGATTGCTCGGAAGTGCGCATGCGCCGCGTTTTTGGGTGACGAGGAGGAAAGCGGGCAGAAAGGCGGAGGCGTTTGCAGACGATCGACGCTTTTCGTCACCTGCTCGCAGCTCGTATTGCAAACGCGGCCCATAAATCACGTGAACCCTGTCGAGCAGTTGGAAACTCTGTAATACAGGCTCTGTAGTGTGACACAATTCTATGACGTCATGAGACGGAAATCGAGGGACCACTTTTTTATTGGACGTGGTTAACGCGCCAATCGGAGACGCGTTTCAAGCACCATATTCTAAAGGCCCGTTCATATACTTGCGACCGACTCCGACACAACTGGCTTTTAAGCCGCTTACAGCGTTGCTAGAACAATTCACTTGAGAAACTTCCATTGAGCCTGCTTTGAAAAAGTGACTCCGATCCGTACTCGAGAACCGAACTACTGGCGATCGCAACGCCACCGTTTCTCCCGCAGCGGCCAGTCCGGGAACTGCACGGCCGCACGTATTAGTTCTGGTCGAGTAGGATGGATGGATGGATGGATGAATACGGCTGAGCCCTTTGGATCGGGCGGTAGCTTACGCCACCTAGCCATTTTGTTTTACCATTTAAGCTTAGAATATTTAAATGTGAAATCTATATTCACTCCGCAGTGCAAAGAAAGTGAGGCTATGAAACCCCCTTGCCACCAGTGGATAAGAAAATACCTAGTTTTCTCTCGATTTCTGCCACCATTCACTTAATCTTTGCTTGGTAATCTCTACAGTCTTGAAATCCACTCTCCCTTCGCTGTCTCTAAAACCCAATGACTTTATTAAATCTATGTTGTCTTCGGTAGGCATAGGGTGAAGCCCTTTACAGTAGAGTATCAAGTGCTCAGCCGTCTCGTCCTCCTCTCCACAAGCAGTGCACACTGTATCAATTTCCTGGTACTTCACTCTGTATGTTCTGGTTCGCAGAACACCCGTTCTTGCCTCAAACAGCAATGAGCTTCCCCTAGAATTGTCATAAATGCTTTCTTTGGCAATAACTCTTTTGTTTAATCCATAGCTTTCCAGAGCCGTCTTTGTCTGCATTCCCTCTAGCCACCAATCTCTTTCTGTGGCCTTAACTTTCTTCTTAACTGAGACTTGCTCTTCGGTATCTTCGCTATAGCCCAAAAACTTTCCTCTTAATTTCCTAGTGCGCTGTCTCCACTTTGTGTCTACACTCCTCATGTATAAATAGCTGAAAACCTTTCGTGCCCATTGCTCCCCGTCCATTTGCCTCAACCTATCCTCAAATTCTACCTTGCTCACCGCTTCCCTGCTCTCAAATGATGCCCATCCCATGTCTCCTTGTACTCCCTGGTTTGGCGTTTTGCAATGTGCCCCCAAAGCCAGTCTACCTACTCCGCGCTGTTTTATTTCCAGTCTCGCATGCACTTCGGATTTCATGCATAGCACTGCGTTTCCAAAAGTCAAGCCAGGCGCCATGACCCCTTTCCAAATCTCTCTCACCACCTCATACCTGTTGTAATTCCAAAGTGCTCTATTTTTCATTAC